TGTACAAATACTATTTAGTAATTTCTTTTCTTCTCTGCTCTTCGGTCCCCTGCCTTCACCCAACTCTCTTTTTGCTGATGTTTAATTAACACAATAGCATTTTTAGTCTTCCTTTAAAAATGACTAGGTAGCACTGTTTCATCCTAGGAAAGAAAAAGCAGTGAAGCCTTGCTGCTGAGTTAGCATATTGTAAACTAGATTATGCCAAACCTCTGAGTGTTTGGGGTGATATTTTCTCTCCCTTTCTGAAAAATGGGCAGTGGTTGCCTTAAATAATTGCTGCATGGGAAACTACCTTGATACAAAGGTAGCCTTCAAGTGTACTAGAGATCACACAAGAGAAATCCTCAGAGGTAGACTGAAGTTAAATACTTGAATCATGTGGCTTACTAAGTAATCAATTTGAAATATCTAGGAGGAAGCAGGGAAAGAGATGCAAGTTAGCACCCTTTAAGGTAGGGTGCAAGGAGGGGAGAAAGGCACCCATGTGATGCCTGAACTATGCATCATCTGTATGTATATTCAGCCTTTTTCAGATGTGTTGGCTTTCCTGATGATGCTGGGGTGACAAGGACTGAAGCTCAGGTTAAGAAAGGAGGTTCAGTGAAAGGGAGGTGCTGGAGTCATCATTTTTGGCAGTTAACTCTGGCTGCAGCTGTGGTTCACCAGGTAATTTGATGAGCAGTGAATGGTTCTGATGGGATTTCTTGGGAAGACTCATACAGAAATGGAACAGATGTCATTGATGGGTGTCAGGTTCAGGGATGACACGGTTGTCATTCTGAAGCTGCCATGATTTACACACGATGACTTGGTCCTCCCACCCCATTCTACTTAAAAGTAGCACTTTTACCCAAATCTCTTTTTCTACGTTCAGCATGCTTCTGTTCTACGTATTCGATCTATGTTTAACACATTTCACAGGTTTCTAACTTCATATCTACATTTAACACTTGTTGGGAGCTTTACCCATCTCATTTGTTTTCTTATTCTCTCTAGCAGAATTAAATATTCTCAAGTTATACAGCAACACCCATTATAGTGGACGAATGTGGAAGAATGATATTCACTATAAGGTCTCATTAATTAGTTTCCCTTGATCACTGTTTTAACTCCACGGGGGCAGAAAGCAGGCTTCTGCAAAGTAAGTGACATGTCACTATTTTCAGTAATAGAAAACTTTACATTTTATGTTAATTTGGAAAATCAGCAAAAGAGAAAAATTGTAGAATGTGGAAAATGCCCTTAGTACTCTCTTTTGCTATGTGGCCAGAAGCAGGATAAAATGATCAATGGGCATGAAATTGAGGCTAGGAAAGAACTTGGAGATGATGGAATTCAGTCCTCTTAGTTTTTAAATGTTGCATGTGGGATTCAGAGAGAGAAAGTGTCTTATCCAAGGTTACACAACTAGGTATCTGTCAGACTCACCTTGAAACCCGGTCCAGTGTTCTTATATTGTAAGAAATGAATTTTCTTGTGTTTTTTACTGGCTGAATTGCGGTAATCATTTACTTGAAAGGACTTTTCTGAAAATGGGAATGCACACACAGTCTCCGTGTATCACAATAAGGTGTTTCTTAACATTTTACTCTGGTGGGAGTTAGTGAGGTCTCTTTACTTCAATGTGCCAATCACTTACAAAGAGAAATGAGTCGAGCCAGCATAAGGGATGTTCAACTCTCAAGGAGACAGAGTGGCAGGAGTGTGAGGGAGCTGTGGGAGGGGAGTGTTCCGTACAAAATGTCCAAATGTCCTTTTCTTGAGATAGCCGCTGGCATTCAGCCATTTATCTCTTGGTTTTCCAAAAGGTACCGTACTATTTTCTGACCACAGTATATGTACTTATTCAAAGCAGTCATGTAAATGAGAAAAAGAATGGGGAATACGTTAATTAATGGATGAATCAGTCTTTATGAGTTGCCTGTTTTGTGCCAGGCACTAGGAACAGTCAATAAAACAATGAATACGTAAGTGTACCTGTCCTCTTGGAGCTTAGCGTTGGTGGGAAAAGCCAAGAAATGACATGAAGTAAGAAGTATGAAACAAGATTGTGCTAAGCCAAGTAAGAGAATAATAAACCAATAACAACTCATAGATTGTGATAAATTCTACAGAGAAAACCACCAGAGTGGTGTGGTAGAGAAACATTGATAGAGGTCCTGCTTTAGAGAGAGTGGCTGGGAGGTTGTATTTGGAGTGTGTGCTGAAGGAGGAGGAAGCAGGTATGTGAAAAGGTGGCAGAAGACTACTTGGACAAGGGGAAGAGTGCAAAGGTCTGGGGCAGGAGTGCACTTGGTAGCTCCTCTAGAACCCAAGGAGAAGAGTAGAGATGGAGGGAGAGACACAGGTATAAGTCCCGAGTGTGCAATTCAAATGGGTCTGGGTCTCATCCTATGAGTAGTGAGAAGCCATTGGGGAATTTTAGGGAGGAGCTAAAATGGTTTGGAAATGCATTTTAAAAAGAGCAGTTTGGCTATTGTGTGGAAAGCAAGGAAAACAAAGCGGTTATCAGAAGCAGGGACATGAGTTTGGAAACTATTTGAAGTTTCCAGGGAGCACCCCCATTGGCTTGGGTAAGAGCTGTTGGAGTGAAGTTGGAAAGCTACCGTGGACTTCAGGCATGGGATCCCTTGTGATTTGCTCTTGGATTGGATTTGGAGGGTGAAGAACTGGGAAGAATCAAGTGAATTTTCTAGTTTTATTGGCTTGGGGAACTTGGTGTTACCATTTACAAAGACTGGGAACTCTTAAGAGAAGATAGAAGGTTGTGGGAGAGAACAAGAGCTCTACTGTGGGCAAATACAATTTGAAATGTTTGTTAGACATTCACATGGAGATATACAGTAAGCAGGAAATTGTATATATCACTGTGCTGCTGGAGGAAGAGTTTAGGGTTGCACATCTAAATATGGAGGTCGTTGGTCACGGGGCTAGAAAGTCAGTACCTAGGGACTGTCGGGGTGAGGACACCCATACTGGTTATGATATTTATACTCTTCCTCCAGCCAGCATAGCTGATCGATCCTGCCCTCTGTTCACTGGGTCCAAGTGGCAGAATCCTGTAATGAGCTCTCCAGGCACTCACTGCCAACCAGTAGATTCCTAATTGATGAGCAAAGAGGTAAACAGATAAGTTAATCTCAAGAGTCAAATGTTTTTGCTGGCACTAAGTTGTACGTGGATTTTATTACGATTCTACCCAGCAGTAGTGATAATAAAGATAATGTTAAGAAAAATTTGCAAATATTTTCTACTTTGCCAAATGATTGGTTTGTATATTTAATGAGTTTTGCATATCATCCTGGGAAGTCTTCAGCGGGGATTTCATAGAAGACATAGAAACATTCTTTAAGTGGCTCTCTCTTAGCCCTGATCAAAGCCAACACAGTCTGCCATTTAACAGGGAAGTTAAGTTAGGGAAGGCGTTTTTTCAGACAAAAAAATCGAGTCGTAGCTAGGTGTGCAATCTCAGCACTCTTGGAGGCTGAGGTAAGAGGGTTGCCGGTTCAAACTCAGCCTAGACAACTTAGAAAGACCCTGTCTCAAAATGAAACATAAAAAAATAGGGCTGGTGGTATAGCTCAGTGTGAAGGTCCTGGGTTCAATCCCCAGTACCACCAAAAAAACTGTGGGTGGGGTGCTCTTCAGGAACTGGCTGCTTCTGTGGTGGGAGACCGCTTGTTTTTTCCCATTTGCAGCCTAGCCTTTTACAGCTGGAAAGAGACTGGTGTTCTCTTTTATGTTACTTAGATGAAACGGCAATTCTTAAATTACAGGGTAGGCTGGGAGGGCTCGGAGAGAGACCCAGTCCATCCCCATTGTTTGCAGGTGAGAAGACAAAGCCTCAAGGTCAAGAATTCAAGGATTTCTTTTTTAGAAGCCACTGAGATTGTTACACAAGTGTGAGATGTTGCTTGGGCAACAGAACCTTTGAGGTTTTGTGGTTTTTTCAACGGTTGCTCATGCAGGGGCAGAGCAATAACCAAGGAGTCATCAGATGGTCCAGAGGGGTGGTCAGGATGAGAGAGGAGACTACCGGATACCCCTTTGACATTCACTTGTCATCCTCTGAATAGTCTTCTTTAACTTTGCTCCCTCAGTGCCCCTTTCTGATGCGAGGAGATGTGGTGTGAAACAGTGAGATAACACCCAGTTTATGGTGGCAAGGATGAGGCACAGAGGGAAATGATAGATGTCTCTCATTATGGCGGCACTGGAAAAAGCAATTCCTGTCCAGGAGCAGGATTAGCTGGACTTGCACACCTCCAGGTGTGCTGAATTGGTCTCCGCCTTAATAAATATTTGATGAGGAGAGTAATCCATTGCATGTTTACAGAGAAATGCCAGGCACGCTTCTGATCAGGAGCATGTCTTGTATTTATTCTTTAAGCAAAGACAGAGTTGTCTGGCATTGTTAGTGCTAGTAAATCTCAGCTAGGTGCAAGGCAAGGAGAGGCTTCCTAGGTGCATTGTGGGGAAAAGGAAACCAAGCCCAGGAGAAAAGTGAGCATGGGTGGTTCTCAGTGGCATTTGGGTTCCACTAGGTCCGAGATTATCTGACTGTAGGACCCCGTTTATCTGAGCACTTTTCATCTTACAGCAACTTATTCTGTTTGCACCAGGCTGCCTTGCTCAGTGTCCCATCAAAATTCATGTCAGAAAATCATAGTCTGGCTGATCGTAAACGTATCAAAATGACAGGTGGACACGGGAACAGAGATAGCATTTCCGGGTTTTGCATCGAATGATTGCGGCTGTATGGTGTGGTGAATGGTGCCTGGATATGGAAACTATCGACAGGAGGGGAAATGGAAAATGTGGCCTGGATCCTTGAACATGGCATTTTAAACTGTGATCTTTTCTGTCTTCTTTCTCATGTTTCCTCTCGCTCTTCTTCTGGATTTCTTCTCCCCCATTTCCCTTCCTTTCTTCCCTCCCCTCCCTTCCTTTCCCTTCTCATTTCTGTCTTCCTCTTCCTGTTTCTTCTCATCCCCTAGACACAGAAAGAGAGATCCATGGAGCTCCTCATGTGAGTGAGAAGTTAATCCAGTTGTTCCGGAATAAGAGTGAATTCACCTTTTTGGCCACTGTGCAGCAGAAGCCATCGACTTCTGGAGTGATACTGTCCATTCGAGAACTGGAGCACAGGTAGGACAGCTCTTTCTGCTCTTGAAAATCTACTTAGAGTTAATGGACTATGTAAGATGCTTTGGAGTTCAGAGGCAGGAGCTCCGTGGAAATGTTGGGCTAGACGAGGCTTTGTTCCTATTTACCACATTACTGGATTTACTTTGCCTTCAAGAGATGATTGGATAAAGAAAATGTGTTTACACACAGTGGAGTACTACTCTGCTGTAAAGAAAGATAAACTTGAGTCAGATGAAAGAAAATGGGTGCACACTGAGACTATAATGTTAAGTGAAATATATCAGACACACAAGCTTAAATATCGCATGGTTTCTCTTATATGAGAAATCCAAATTATAAATAAGGATCAAAATAAAATATAGATAATAGGAAGTAGGGAGATGTTTCTCAAATGGAAAGGGGATCAAGACATAGAGGGAGGTATGAGGGAGGGGAAGGGAAGAGGATGAATAAAGGAATGAAGATATCTACATGTACCAAAACATCTACATGTTTACAAAACAGTGTAAACATTATGTACTGCAAACATGTAGTAATAAAAAAATAAAAATAAAGTTTAAAAATAAAAACTAGAGTTGACTTCAGGTAAAGTTGCTCTTTTGTTTGTGCTCCAAGTACCACTGCTGAGTGTCTTTCTTGGTTGACTTTGTTCACATAAAACCATATCCTATCTCATGATGCCATATTTAAGGCATCAAGCAAGTTAATCAGTTATATTTAATAACTGGCAAGGATTTATTGTGTGGTGATGTGGAAAGTGTACTTGATACTGGGAATATTGAGGTGAATAACTCACAATTTTTTATTACAAGGATTGCATAAGCTATTAAGGTTAATATAGACAAATAAATAGCATAAAGCATTGTAGATATGATGTTGGTAGTTTGTGTTCAGGGAGGGAAGGTAAAGTTAAGGTAAGCTAAAGATAAAGGTAAGTAAAGGTAAGAGGGTCTATCCTACTAAGGATTGTAGTATCCACAAAGGCTTCATAAAGGAGCATGGTTAAAAAAGATCATGTTGGCGGTAAGTGCTTGGAACATAAAAAGATGTGTGGGAAAGCGGATGAGAATTTGGGGTGGGCAGTGAGGGATGGTATTGCAACGGTAGGTGGAAGCCAGGTCATTGCAAAGCATCAATGCTATTTAAAAAAACTGGGACTACAGTCCCCAGAGAAAACGAGTCTTACATTTGAGAACGATCACCCTGTTAAAGTAATGATTATGATTTAACCTGAACAATTTAGAATTTTACTAGCGACCTCCTCTGTACTGGGCTATAGAAAATATATCTGAAGAGCCATCTCTGTTCTGGGTGCATAGGCAGGTTTTTGTGGGGAAATTAAAAAGAAAATCTTCCAAGCGTTTATGGTAGATTTTGGCAATGTGAAAAGCCAGGCTCAACTATATAAAAAGCTAACGAATTAAAGTTAATAATAAAGAAATAATAGGGTGTGTTACAACAAGGCAGTGTGTAGCTAATTTCAAATTTATGTAAATGTATTAAGCTTGCTGAATGCTGCTCATTAGGTCAGTGGATAAAAGGCCAGGTAGAGAGAGGACTCCTGAAGGGCACGTGGACTTCCAGCAGGTCAGGGCAGGAGGAAGATGTTTCAAGCTGGAAGGACAGTGTGGAGAACTCAGAGATGAAGAAGTGTGAGGAAAGTGATTTTTTAGTGGGCAGGGGAGTGGACAGACTAAGTTGGCTCCTGCTGAAAAGGTTTTCCTTGCACATTTTCATCAGATGTGTGAATCAATAGTTCTGCATCTTTCCCGTGGTTTCATTTGCTTTCAGCCTCAAGGGCTGTGATTCACCCTGATCCTTCTGGCTGGATTTTGTCAGCATGATGAGCTGGCTGTTGTGGGGTCAGCCCAGAAAACACAAGGTGATGCACATGTCTGTGACAGATAAGAGTTAGTTTAAAGGTGTGCTGCATGTTGGGGTTTAGCAGCAAGCCAAGTGCTGCTTCGCAGTCAGGGAAAGGCTGTATCTTGCTTCCCTGGTGTATGGTGCTGGGCTCCTTGGTAGGAGAGCCATACAAATGCCGCGTCTAGAAGGCGCATCTTCAGTTACTTCTCAGTAAGGCGGGGCAGAGCACTTCCCGAAGCAGGGAGCAGCATGAGGAATGGCTACTTTTAGTAGAAAAAGCCCTGGCTTCAGAGTTAGGTCGGCAGAGACTAGAGTTGCAGTTCTAATTTTGTGACAACAGCTATTTAATATCTTGGAACTTCAGTTTCCTTGTCTGTGTAAGATGTAGGTAATAATCCATTTTGGATGGTTGCTGTAAGGATGAAAAAGTGCACGTTGAGTTGCCATCCTTTAATAAATGTACATTTTTTCTCATTTATGTCTTTAGACTCTATTTGCTGGGTTTCTGTTTTGGAATTGAAAAGTCTTACTTGAGGATAGGCCTTACAGTATCCTTAGGAGCTTTCTAACAGAATCTGAGGATTATTGAATGGAGAATCATCTGAACATTTTTTAATTGTAACAGAAAAACCCCAGATACCGACTCAAACAAAATAAATGTGAAAAGATAGAAAGTAGATCTCCCTTTGGATTTCATGGTGCTCCCCTCCATACTTGTTTAATCAAAGCAAAGCACAAATGATGGGGTTTGTAATCTGGTAGCTGTGGGTATCACAGAAGTTCTGATTTCCACCCTGAAGAAGGTTAATGTATAGTTGAGAAGACAAGGAATACAAGAAAACAGAGAGGATTTGTTATAATATGTATTTAAGAAGCTATTATTAGGGTTCTAATCTGTAGCATGTGAGACTCATCATTTTAAGTGCCTTTTATTATTAGAATAAGTGTCTAGAGAAGCAAATAGTTCTGCACACATTTTGGCATGGACATATGGGCACATTGGCACATCCGGCAGGTGCATAATAATATGGCCTTGATTTGGAGTTCTTTTTTATTCAGTGGCAGGCAATGTAGGTATCTAGTGGGCAGATTGTTGACAGAAAGTCAAACATAGGATTCTTTGTGTGATTCTCTCATGTGTGATCCTGATTGTATTGCTTATGATCAGAACAAATTAAATGTGTGTTTGCCATATCTGGGATATGATAGGTATGATCAGATTCAATTTTTTATTTTTATCATTTGTCATTTTTAGTATATTCACAAAGTTGTACATTCATCTCCACAATTAATTTTAGAAATTTCTTTACCTCAAGAAAAAAATCTCAGTACTCCCTAGCTGTCATTCAAAATCTCCCCATAAGCTCCCTTGCTGTAGGTAATCATTAATCTTCTTGTCTCAATTAATTTGCCTATTCTGATCATTTTGTATAAATGAAACCATACTCTCTGTATGATCCTTTGTTATTTGCTACTCTCAGAATATTTTCAAGACTCATTCAGAGTCTAGCTTGTGTCAGTGGTTCATTTCTTGTTATTGTAGAATGATGTTACATTGTTTGGATATAGCATGTTTTTATTCATTTATTAGTTAGTGGACATTTGAATTGTTTTCACTTTTTGGATATGTATACTGATTTCAGGAATATTCATGCATAAGATTTTGTATGGACATGTTTTTTATTCTCTTGGCTATACATATAGGAGAGGAATTGCAGGATCAGAACTGCAGGACTATTTTCCAAACTGACTGTACCATTTTACATTCCCACTAGCACAGACTAAAGGGGTCCAATTTTTCTCCATCCTTGTCAACACCAGTTATTTTTCTTTTTGATTGCAGCTGCCCTAATGAGTGTAAAGTATATCTCATTGTGTTTTTGAATTGCACTTATCTGATGCCAAATGATGTTAAGTATCTTTTCATGTTCATATTGGCCATTTGTATATCTTTTTTTGAGAAATGTCTGTCTGTTTTAATTGGGTTATTTGCCTTTTTATACTTGATTTATAGTAGTTCTTTATCTTATAGATACAAGTCCCTAATCAGATATATGACATAGCTTTTCCTCATTCTCTAGATTATATTTTCATGTTATTGCTGATGTCTTTGAGGCATGAAATTTAAAATATTTGATGACATCCAGTTTGTTGTTTGTGTGCTTGGTGTCTTATCCAGGAAACCATTTCCTAATCCAAAGTTCTGAAGATTTAGTCTGAAAATTTTATGATTTTTTTCTGAAAGTTTATCTCCTGACATTTTAATTTTTGTAGATGGTGGGAGATAGGGTTCCAGCATCATGCTTTTGCATATGGACATCCAGTTGTCCCAGCACCATTAGTTGAAGATTGTCCTCCTTGCCCAGTGAATTTCCTTAGCACCCCTGTTGTAGATTAATCAGCTATAAATGTGAGGGCTTATTTCTGACTCTCAGTTCCACTTTGTTAAATGCTATGTCTATCAATGGCAATACTGTTTTGATTATTGTACCTTTGCAGTAAGTTTTGAAATAAGGAAGTGAGTCCGCCATCCTGGACTTTCTTTTCAAGATTATTGTGATTATTGCAGTCAGCATGAATTTTTGTGTGAAAGTTAGGACTAGTTTGTCAATTTCTACAAAGAAGTCAGTTGAGATCTTTTTTTTTTCCATTAAGTTTATTGGTACATTTTAGGTATAAAATACAGTTACATTTATCATTGAGATCTTGTACCTTTACATGAGTATCTTGGTTCTTATTTTTTTCCCCTTCCCCTGCCCTCCCTTCATCCCCTCCACCCTTCCCTATTTGCAAAGACTTTGTCTCCATTTTTTTTCTTTTCTCATATTTTTTCTTTTCCCTTATTTCCTTTCCCCTACCCCTCTCACTTCCCCTGCTCCTTTAGACCTTTTCTTCCTATTACACAATATCAATTATACATTTTTAAAAATTACAATATCAAAATGTAGAGG